TCAAAGGTTCCTAAAGAAGGTCCTTAATATTCATACCTTATGTTCTAAATAAAGTTACTCTCCAGCTTTATGGGAGTTCTGCTTCTCTCACCACAAAAAATCCCTTGCAGGTGCCTCGCTGGCTATTCTGCAGCCCCAGCCCTTTTTGCTCAGCCTCGGAAAAGCTGTGCCATTCCATTCCTGGTGCTTCTCCACCCGTTCTGCTGCTTTCCCCCCTTCCCCTGCTGTCCCCCAGCCCTTCCCTGCAGGGTCCCACCTCTGGAGCTGGCGTTTCTGGAAGAGTTTGGCTCTTGGAACTTTGCCCCGCTCAGGAATCGTGCCAAGCCCCCTCCAGTTTCTGCTGGATGAAAAATGACCCGGCACCACCTGCCCAGAAAGTGGGGAAACGTGGGGATGCTGAGCCGGGACGGAGAGCACCAAAGTGCCCCTCGTTCCACGTTGTGAAAGGAGAGGAGGAACACGACGGGCAGATTTTTCCCCCTTAATTCGATCGCTGAAATGTTACAATCTGTCCTGCTCTAATTCCCTCCACTTGTGCTTGTGCAGTGGTTGCAAACATGCTGAAATATGAACTCATGCTTGGTAAGCCTTTAATTCCAGCTTTGATGTTTTTAATCATCAGGACAGATTTGGTAAAAATGATTCATTAGCTCGAAAGGCATCCTGGCCGCCGCGTGACGCCGTGGGGAACGGAGGAGGCAGCGCCAGGGCCGCTTCTTCTTGGGCTGTTCTTTGTGCCTGAGCTGGTCCTGGAGGTGAGGCCCTCAGCATCTCGGCCTCTGGGGGCTCTGGGGTATCCAGGTGCCTCCTCTGGGGTGTCCAGGTGCCTCCTCTGGGGCTCTGGGCTGTCCAGGTGCCTCCTCTGGGGCTCTGGGCTGTCCAGGTGCCTCCTCTGGGCTGTCCAGGTGCCTCCTCTGGGGCTCTGGGCTGTCCAGGTGCCTCCTCTGGGCTGTCCAGGTGCCTCCTCTGGGGCTCTGGGGTGTGCAGGTGCCTCCTCTGGGCTGTCCAGGTGCCTCCTCTCTGCAGCTGCCTTTGGTCAGACCCGAGCGTTCCTTGCTGGGAGATGCAGAGCAGAGCCCGAGCCATGGCTGAGGGCTCTCTCTGGGTGCAGAGCAGCAGGATCAGGAGCATTTCTGGCCCTTTTTGCTTTCCCTGCCTGGAAGCGCTCCCTGAGCACTCTCTGGGACACCTCCATGCCCTCCCCATGCAGGGTTCAGCCTGGCTTGGTTCCCCACGCTGAAACTGCAGAGCATCGGGAGCAATCTGAATTCAGAGAAATCCTCAATCCCATCATTGCTCCCTGGCTGCAGCAACAGGGATGGTCCTGGGGTGTCCCAGGGGTGTCCCAGGGGTGTCCCAGGGGTGTCACAGGGATGGTCCTGGGGTGTCACAGGGGTGTCACAGGGATGTCCATTGGATGTCCCATGGATGTCACAGGCATGTCCCAGGGGTGTCCCAGGGATGTCACAGGGATGTCCCAGGGGTGTCCCAGGGATGTTCCCATGGATGTCCCATGGATGTCACAGGCATGTCCCAGGGATGTTCCCATGGATGTCCCATGGATGTCACAGGGGTGTCCCATGGATGTCACAGGGATGTCCCAGGGGTGTCCCAGGGGTGTCCCATGGATGTCACAGGCATGTCCCAGGGATGTCACGGGGATGTCCCAGGGGTGTCCCAGGGATGTTCCCATGGATGTCCCATGGATGTCACAGGGGTGTCCCAGGGGTGTCCCAGGGGTGTCCCAGGGATGTCCCAGGGATGTTCCCATGGATGTCCCATGGATGTCACAGGGGTGTCCCAGGGGTGTCCCAGGGATGTCCCAGGGATGTTCCCAGCATGTTCCCAGAGCTCTGAGGCTGCTGCCCAGAGGGCACTGCCCCCCTGGCTCTGCTGTGGGATTCCAGCTGCCCCCGCCGTGCGTGCCATGGTATAAAGATCCCTTTGACAGCCGCTTCCATATGGAAAGTGGCAATCCTGTTCTGCAAAGCCACCTTTGTGCCCCCAGGGCCACGTGAGAGGGCTGCTGGTGGCAGGGTGCTGGGATCTCTGCCATGGGGTGCCCACAGTGGGATGTTGGTGTGGGTGTGATTTTTGTGTCCTGCGTTTTTCCAACCCAGAAATTCAGCTGCAGCCCCACGGCTGACCCTGCTCCAGGCTGACCCATCGAAACCCCCGTGAAACTCCGGCTTGTTGAGCATCCCCAGGAAAGTTCCAGAAGCTCCCCATCCCTGCCTCCGAGGAAAGGGAAGCAGCAGAATAAACACTTCCTCCCCGATGTGCTGAAAGGCTTTCATCTCCCGGGGCACGTTCTGAGCTGCGAGGAGGAGGAGGAGGAGACAAAACTCTTCCCGAGTTTTGTCTTCCAGGCTGTTCCTGCTGTAACAAATTGTTAAGCAACAAGTACACGGCATTTGGAGATCTGGGATGAGATAGCGACAGCCTCACAAAGGCGCTCTCACATGTTCAAGGCTTCCTTTTGTGCTCCGGGCTTTTATATATTTATTTTTCGTTCTCTGGCATCCAACTGCTGCTCCTCTTCTTCCTCCATTGCCAGTGCTGCCAAGGCCGTGGGTTCAGGTGTGCTCCCGTGCCCGGCCAAGCCTGCAGCCTGCTCTTATCACAAATCCCTTTTTTCTGCCCGCAGAGCAAACACGGCTTGGTGCTGTTCCCCCACCTCTCCTCCTCCCCCTTTGTTTTCCAGAAATCCCTTACTTGATTTCTCATGCTTTGTGTGGACTTGGTTTTGTTTCCAGCTTTTTTTTTCCTCCTTAAAATCCTTTTGGGTTTTTTTCCTCCTTAAAATCCTTCTGTTGTTTTTTGTTTTTTTTTTTTTTTTTTTTTGCTGGACATTAGTGATGCCTTTCTTTTGTTTTAGTTTTTTTTTCCCCCCTCCTTCAGGGTATTGTGTAATCTTTGGATCCTTTTATTCTATCCCTGTAAATAGACAAAGGGACCAGAACACAGAGTTTTTCCTGGAGTGGCTGTTCCATTACCTGTTGAAATGAATGCCACATCCAAACACCTTTATGCCACACAGATGGGCCAACCCACCCTGAGCTAATCTTGTAAAAGTGAATTGAGGAAAAGGGAAAAAATAAAGGAGTATTTGTGCAGGTGACGCTGGTTGTTTGAACCTGTGCTGCCTGTGGATCCAGGGGCAGCATTCCCATAGGGATGAACCCCAAGGCTGGGAAGAGGAATGTTTGAAATCAGTACCAAAAAAAAAAAAAAAGAAAAAAAAAGAATTGAGGAGAATTCCCATGAGGAGATTCCTGCAGAGATGGAGTGTGACAAAGTCACACAAACTCAGGAATTATTTGAGCTCCTGCTGGATTTTACCTGTCCAGCCTGGAGCTGTGGCTTTTGTGCCGCTCATGGACCTTTCCTCCTTCCTGCCCAGCAAACCCAGGTTGCAGCCAGGAGAGGGAAGGGGTCTGACGTGCTGAGAATCCCTCCAATCTCTTCCCTCTCTTTTCCTCGGGACGGACATTTCTTGGCTTGCAGGGTGTGGATAAAGGTCCTGTCAGCAGCTGCCTGTGTGCTAATCCCTTTTATTCCAGCGAGGAGCCCCCCACGCTCTGCTCCGAGGCTCTTTGGAGCGCTGTGATTGTAGGGAGGGCATTTCAGACCCCCCCACCCCAGCTGGGCACCCCCAGCCGTCCCAGCAGGAGCTCCCGTGGATTTTGGGGAGCATCCCCAACCCTGAGGAGCTTGATCCGGCCTGCCAAGGTTTGCTTTGAGCTCCAGAGCCGCCTCCCAGGGCTCTGATGGACATCCCAGATTTCCCCTCTCCCTAAAGCTTGCAGGAAATTGCAACCCGATAGGAGCAGCCCTGTCCCCTGTCCCTCATTGTTTGAGGATTGTTTACATCCCCTTTTTTGTTATCCCATCTCCCTGACTCCTGCCTGACCTCGCCGGCGCGTTTGGTCCATTGTGTGTGGCTGTTGTTGTTCTTAGGGAGGAGGGTTGGAGCAAACCCTGGGATTACTCAACGCTGCCTGCTCCTTTTTGGCTCCCTTGCTTGATTCCACCTAAATAATAATAATAATAATAATAATAATAGTGATGATAATTCCCTCTAAGTGCAGTCCTAAGTGCCCTCTCCCACTGTGGATTTGGAGCAGCTCACACACCTTCCCAGACTCGGGATAATCTCCTTGGGATTGTTTTGAGGTCACATTTTCCATAAAAGGTTCCTCAAAAAGGCAGGGACCAAGCAGCAGGATGCTCCTGGAAACATCAGCCCCATCCTGACCATTGATCCCCGTGTTTTCTCCCCAGTGATCCTGAAAAGTCGGCCAGAGCTGGATTAAATTCTGCAGATGAATTTGGGATTCCCCAGGAGCGGCTCAGGGCACCTTGCAGTGGCTCCTGGAGCTCTCTGCAGAGCATCCCCAGGGTGCTGCCCCTGCCGAGCGCATGTGAGGGCAGGCAGAGCCCGGGCTGCCGTGGGGAGCAGTGTCAGAGGCTCTGGGAAGAGCAGGGGGGTGTTCACGCTGCTGGCCAACAGCTCCAACAGCTGACGTGGTTCGGCGCAGCCAGTGCCGTGCAGTATTCTGCTTTTTGCTCCTCTCCTGGGGGTCAGGCAGCAGGGAAGGATGGAATGGGGCTGGCAGGAGCAGGGATGCAGCAGCTGCACCAGGGAAGGTGCTGAGCAGGGGCGGCCGATGCGGCTGGGTGCTGTGGTTGGAGCGCAGGTCAGGGTGGGCTCTGGTGCAGACACCGACGTTCCCTGGAGGCTGTGGCCGCAGGAGATGTCTGGCTGGTGCCTGGAGCCCCACGTGTGCTGCAGGGATGTCAGCAGTGCCAGAGCATGTCTGCAAAACGTGCAAGTGTTTTGTGCCGGGAGAAGGGAGCTCGAGGTGTTCCCTGGGTGGCTCTGAGGTGGGAGTTTGCCTTCCAGCTGGTGCCAGCTGCTGTGTCCCCATCTGGCTGGGTGGGTGTGTGACATTGTGTGCTCATCTCAAACCAGGCTGTCTCTCTTGTTCTGTTTTTAGCATGGCTGACAAGAACAGCACCCTGAAATGCACGTTCTCTGCTCCTGGCCACAGCACCACGCTGCTGCAGGGACTGGCCTCGCTCCGAGCCCAGGCTCAGCTGCTTGATGTCATCCTCACTATAAATAATGAAGTGTTTCAGGTTCATAAAGTTGTCTTGGCTGCCTGCAGTGACTATTTCAGGTGAGAACCCCATAGGGAAGCAGGCACTTTCACCTTTCCCGTGGGTTTGCTGTCTCCCCATCCTCCCCATCCCAGCCTCCCCACCACATCCCAAAATCCCGCCCTGCAGAAGCCTTGGGAGGTTTGGTTTGCTCCACAGTGTCCTGCAGGCAGGTAGAGGTTGAGGAGCAGTCCCTCTGCACTCAGGTTTGTTCAGCTGCAGCTGCTGGGCCGAGGCAGGAGCCCAAGCTCAGGTTTGGACCCCACCTGGGCAGGTGTTGGTGCTGCTTTTGCTGTTGAGCTGGTTTGGAAGTGGCAGTGAGGCTCCAAAATGAGGCACCCCATCCTCCTGTTCTCTTTAGCCACCTCTGCTCTGCCTGTGGGGCTCCCTGCCCCTGGGCTGAGAGCACCAAGTGTGGTCCCAGAAGGTCTGGGAGAATTGTCCAGCTGGTGTGGGCTGAAAACCAAAGCACTGTGAGGAGTTCCGCAGCCAAATTAATGCAGAGAGAGTCCTGAGTGAAAATAGGTGTTTCATCCATCTTGCCTCTGTCGCAGAATCACAGGATTGTGATTGTGAGGTTGGAAAAGATCTCCAAGGTCGTCGAGCTCAGCCTTGTCACCAGCCCAGAGCACCGAGTGCCACGTCCAGGAGTTCCTGAGACACCTCCAGGGATGGGGGCTCCAAACTGAGGACCCACCATTAACCCTGGAGCTGCTCTGGGTTGGTAATGGCACTGTTTGTTCCTCCTGCTGGGTGCAGGGGCACTGCCAGGGTGGTTCCACTGTCAGAGTCTCATTGCTGAGTGGGTTCCTCCTCAGAACCTTCAGTGGGTTCCTGCTCAGAACTTCAGAGGTGCTCAGGAAGGTTGTCCTGGGGAACAACAGCAGAATAATCCAGGTTTTGAAACCACTCTGTAGTTCTTTTTCTGCGGGAAGGGGGAGGGAAAAGAGTGAAATTGAGGCATTTATATAATCAGCATTTTAGAACCATAACACTTTTGAAGGGAATTGCATTCTAGTTGATGGTTTGTTTTCAGCATGGCAACAATGAAGGCTCAGTGGAGGCTTTCCTCTCCCTGCTCAGCTGGTGCAGGGGCACACACGTGGCTGGGTGTCCTCTGGGGCGAGGGATCGGGGCTGGGACAGGGGATGTGCTGGCATTTCTGCACTATGCTCTCATCTGCTGCACGGACAAATAATTGGGAACAGCGTTCCTGGTCACTGGGTTACAGCAGGCTGATCTCACAGGCAGATATTTCCTCATTTAGGTCATTTAGGATTTCTTGGGTTTATGCTGGAAGGCAGCAGGTTTTCTAGCCTGGTTTGGACAGGAAACTTGGAACTCCTGTCTTTTGACCGCGTTCCCAAGATATTCCTTCATTCCCGTGTCGAGGCAGGGTCTGCTCAGCATTTTTTGGGGCTGACTCTCACCTTGGAGTCGGCACAGGCAGCTCTGGTGACACCACGGGTTTACCTTTCCCATGGAAAAGAGCAGGTGGAAAAAAACAGCCCAAAAAGTGCAGGTTTAAGACCTTTTGTGTGACATTTCATGGATTGCTGGGACGTGTGTGCAGTGGCAGGGAGCGGTGACACTCCACGTCACCAGTGTCACTCCATGTCACTCCATGTCACTCCATGTCACCTGCTCTGGCTTTGCCTGACCCACAACTGCTCTGCCTCTGCTCCTTGAGCACCACGGGGTGCAAACCCTCACCCCCAACCACCCCTGGGCAGCAAACCCCTCAGGAACGGGCTGGGAATGGCCCAAATGCCAAAAAGGGCCCAAACCCCGCAGGTGCAGCCCCGTCCCCATGGCGGCCCCGGCCAGGCCTCGGTGTGGAATGTGCTTCCTGTGGAATTGGGGAGCCTCCCAAGGAGGAGATCCAGGGCCTGAGCTCTGCTGGCCTGGGCTGGTGCTGTGCTCGCAGCTGTGCTGTAACTGAGCCTTTTCCCCCCTATTTGTGTTTAATTGCCTGTCAGCCCCCTGCTGCCCGGGCTGCAGCTCCCATTTTGTCAGGCCTTGGGAGGGAGCCTTGCAGGGGAGTTCTGCTGGAAGACCGAAGCTGTTCCTGAGATGTGCTGCACCTGCAGTTTTTGAGCCATTTCGTAGTTGCCTGTGAGGTAACAGGATAACAGGGCCTAAAGGCCTCGCTGCCAGGAGTCACTGAACTCCCACCACAGGTGTGTTCCCTCCTTGTGCCCCCAAATCCTAAACCTAAAACCACCTAAAACCGTTCAGGCTACGGCTCCCAATCTGCTGGTGTACATCCCCTGGGATCCTTTTTGGTTGGATATCACGGATTCATTGGTGGCCGGAATTGTTCACTCCCTGCTCTGGCAGCTCTGCCTCATTCTGGAGCTTGGTCCTGTGGTCTGCTCCTATTCCTGCTGCCAGTGGGATTGAAAAACTTCTCCAGTTGCTGAATATTCCTCCTCAGTGCACTGTTTATGCAAGCCTTATGTAAGTCATTGCACACTCTCATTTCTCCTGGCTCGTAGAGATTTAGCCTTGATTTATTCCCCCCTTCCCCGCCCCGAGAGAATCAGGGTGTTAAATAAAACCCAATTCCGAGGCGCTGCATCTCTTGCTGAAGCAGGGGGGGGTTTTCTGTTTGTGTTGCTGACCTGCAGGGCCATGTTCACGGGCGGCATGAGAGAAGCCAGCCAGGACGTGATCGAGCTCAAGGGCGTGTCTGCCAAGGGCCTGAAGCACATCATCGACTTCGCCTACAGCGCCGAGGTCACGCTGGACCTCGACTGCATCCAGGACGTGCTGGGAGCCGCCGTCTTCCTGCAGATGGTGCCGGTGGTGGAGCTGTGCGAGGAGTTCCTCAAGTCGGCCATGAGCGTGGAGACGTGCCTCAACATCGGCCAGATGGCCACCACCTTCAGCCTGGCCTCCCTCAAGGAATCCGTGGACGCCTTCACCTTCAGGCACTTCCTGCAGATCTCGGAGGAGGAGGATTTCCTGCACCTGCCCTTGGAGCGCCTGGTGTTCTTCCTGCAGAGCAACAAGCTCAAGAGCTGCAGCGAGATCGAGCTGTTCCGCGCCGCCGTGCGCTGGCTGCAGTTCGACCCCGCGCGCCGCGCCAGCGCCAGCCGCGTGCTCTGCCACATCCGCTTCCCGCTCATGAAGTCCTCGGAGCTGGTGGACAGCGTGCAGACCCTGGACATCATGGTGGAGGACGTGCTGTGCCGCCAGTACCTGCTGGAGGCCTTCAACTACCAGATCCTGCCCTTCCGGCAGCACGAGATGCAGTCGCCGCGCACGGCCATCCGCTCGGACGTGCTGTCCCTCGTCACCTTCGGCGGCACGCCCTACACCGACAACGACCGCACCGTCAGCCCCAAGGTGTTCTGCCTGCCCGACGCGGCCGGGCGCCAGTTCCGCGAGCTCACCGCCATGGAGGCGGGCAGCAGCCACTCGTGCGTGGCCGTGCTCGACAACTTCGTGTACCTGGTGGGAGGGCAGCAGCTGCAGTACCGCAGCGGGGAGGGCGCCGTCGACGTCTGCTACCGCTACGACCCGCACCTGAACCAGTGGCTGCGCATCCAGGCCATGCAGGAGAGCAGGATCCAGTTCCAGCTCAACGTCCTGCGCGGCATGGTGTACGCCACGGGCGGCCGCAACCGCTCGGGCAGCCTGGCCTCGGTGGAGAAGTACTGCCCCAAGGACAACGAGTGGACCTACGTGTGCTCCCTGAAGCGCAGGACGTGGGGCCACGCCGGCGCCACCGCGGGGGACAGGCTCTACATCTCGGGGGGCTACGGCATCTCCGTGGAGGACAAGAAGGCGCTGCACTGCTACGACCCCGCCGCCGACCAGTGGGAGTTCAAGACGCCCATGAACGAGCCGCGGGTGCTGCACGCCATGGTCAGCGCCAGCGGCAGGATCTACGCCCTGGGGGGACGCATGGACCACGTGGATCGCTGCTTCGACGTCCTGGCCGTGGAGTATTACGTCCCCGAGACGGACCAGTGGACCACGGTGAGCCCCATGCGCGCGGGGCAGTCGGAGGCCGGCTGCTGCCTCCTGGAGAAAAAGATTTACATCGTGGGGGGCTACAACTGGCACCTCAACAACGTCACCAGCATCGTGCAGGTCTACAACACGGAGACGGACGAGTGGGAGAGGGACTTGCACTTCCCGGAGTCGTTTGCCGGCATCGCCTGCGCCCCCGTCATCCTCCCGCAGGTGACGAGCCAGAGGTGACTCGGGGGGCTCCGGGGGACAGGGAAGGACAGGACAGCTCCAGAATGTCCCTGCTCCTGCTGGCGAGCCGGCTCCAGCAGCAGCGCTTGCCAGCCGGGCAGACTAAACAGATGTTACAGCTGGGAAAAGCTTTTCCCTCCTCTCTCAGCCATTTTTGTGGTGGGGGGAGCGTTTTGCCAACTTTTCGTGTTTTTAATGCACTGCAAACATTGGCAGCTCAGGAGTCACTCAGCACTGGGGTCTTGTTTCCAAGAGATCAGGTGAGGGTTTTTTATCAATAGCTCCAAAAATAAAAAAAATCATCGCGCGGCGCTTTGTTGGTTTTTTAGCAAACAAAAAAAAAACAAAACAAAACCAAAACCTGTGTAACACACTGACCTCCAGAAGCAATAAAAGGACAGTGGGAGCTACAGGAGCTCAGGTGCTTGGATTGGGAAGGCAGATCCCTGTTTTTCAAAGGTGACTTTTCCTTTTTTTTCCCCTTCCTGAAAAAGGGAATATTTATCCCTGCACACCTCTGGTCTTCACTGCTCGGATCACACTGCAGTTCCTCGCCCCCTCCAGCTCCTCTAGTGCAGAAATTCTCCCTTAATTGGGGCGTGCAGGGTTTGCAGCACTAAAGCCATGGTGAAAGCTTGATTATATATAAACAGCATGATTATTTGGGTTTAGAAGTGCCAAAAATTTGGCTGTCCTGGCAATAAGAGCTCTGCAGTCGGTGAAGCCAAGAGCTCCCGCAGATTCTGGGTCAGGGTTTTCACCTTTCCCAACTCTTCCTCCAGTAAAGGAGGTGGGTGCTACTCCCTCAGTTTTCTTCCCTGCCACGTGGATGAGCTGCTTGGCATCCCCAAAGGATGGGAGCCCCAGTGGAATGTGGTTTTGTTGTTGTGGTGGTATTTTCAGTTAATGGGTTGGTTTGTGATGGCTCTGCCATTTTTGTAAAGTCTTCGCTGCACAGAACACTTCCTGAACTTTCCTCTCCTCCAAGCCATTTTTCTTATTTAATTTGACGAGTGAATTGCAAAAAGCTCTGCTTTTATCAGGAATTCTGTTTCCAAGGGCTTTGTTTTGTATCTGTGTCAGCTTGATTTGGATGCACGCGGTCTCCTTTTGCGGAGAAGCTGTTGCATTCTGCTCTGAAATAAATCCTGGGCTGCAACCTTCAGTGACAACTCGTAGTGTCTGGTGTGCTGGTGAGTCCTGGAGGGGTCTGTGTGGAGCATGAGCTCCACAGCTCAGGGATGTTTCTGGAATCCAGGGGATCAGAGCACCTCTGGGTGGGATGCAGGGGGCTGGCATTCTGAATTTCAGATAAGAGCCCTGCAGAATTTCCCCCGTTCCTCTCCCCGTGCGGGTTTGCAGTACTGAATGGATGAAAAGGACGTGTTGCCTTCAGGCTTCTCAGGTAGGTGTGTGTGTGCTGGGGGGAAAGAGGAGAATCCTTGGAAAACAGGGAAAAGCCTGTTTGGTCTCACTTTTAAGGAGAGCCTTGCAAAAATAAACCTAACCCAGGTATTCCTTCCCGTTGGAAATGTTGTTTTGCAGACAGGAGGATGCAAAAAGCCCTTCTGCAATTCTATTTATTAAACAGTTGCCTGCCATGAAGCAAAGCCAGCCTGGCATTGCCATTCCTGTTCCTTCCAGTTTCCAGAGCAGGAGCTGGGAAAGAGTCTGGAGGTCTCTGGATCAGAGCACTGCAGCTCTTTGGTGCTGGAATGTTCTTTTTATAGCAGAGTAAATAATTATTTCTCATCAAAAGAGCTGGAAATCTTCTGGCCGCTCTAAATTTAGCAGAGGCTCAAATATTTGTGGACCATAAATATTTTGGATGATAAATTTTGCTTGACCCCTGTGCAGGGGATGGAGTTGTGGCTCTGGGCTGGGCACAGCCTCTCTGATACTCTGACAGTAAATGGGTTTGGTGCCTTTGGTGCATTCAGTAATTGAGATTTCAGGAGGATTTTCCCATAAATACAGATGGGATTGTGTGGAAACGCTTCCTAGGATGCCCCACATGGAAGGGAGGTGGGTTGGGCTCCTCTTTTCCTGAGGAATGAGCAAAGCCAGATAAATGTTTGCTTGCACTCAGAGCCGTTTATGGGCCTCGGGGCTGCCATAAAAACCCTGGGGGTGAATTGGGAGAATTTGGAGATGCCCCTGAGCAGATGGGGAGCAGGAGAAGCCGGAGCACCGTCAGCACCGAGCCCCGCGTCCCTCCAGAGGCTCCTGCCAGGCCTGGGGAAATCATTCCTGTCTCCTCTCGCGTTTGATGGGCCCGAAATGGTGCCTGAGGCCGCGCAGGCAGCGCTGGGAGCCCTGGCAGGGCGCGGAGAGGAGGGATGGGGATGGCTGCACCCCGTTGTCGGTGTCACTGCCCCCCTGGCTGCCCCCGGTCCCTCTGCCACGGCCCCCAGCCCCGGGAGTTCGGTAATTCGCTCCGACGCGGCCGCAGCCCCGAAGGGTTTGAGCAGCAGAGGAAAATCTCAGTGTCTGTGGTTCAGACTGAAGCAAGGCGCTCCCAGCAGCTCCCAGCCAGCCTGGTGCTGCTGTGGGTGCTGCTGCGGGAGCCACACCAAACCCGGGCAGAAATTCCCCCTCCCAGCCCTGTGATAAGGGCCGGAGCTGCTGAAACTCCGCAAACTTGCGGGACATTCATCACGGCGGGATCGCTGGAGCCAGACTGCTGTCAGGGTAAATAAAACATGTTCCCCAGTGCAGCTCTAATTATGATTTTTAGCCAGTTGTGTAATGTGCAGAACTTTATTTACAATAAATCTTCCCGTTGCTCGCACAAATGAATGGGATTTCCTCGCGGGAGGCTGGAGGAGCAGGAGAAGGGGATGTGGCTGCGGGAACTCACGGGCTGGGGTGGTGGCACGGCAGGACAGGGAGCTCAGCTGGATGCTCTGGCCCTCCAAGCTCCCCTGCCTTCCACCTGTGGGGTTAATGATTGCTGTGGTGGTGTTGGGGTCCCCAGCACGAGGTGAGAAATGAGAATTTGGCTCCAGGCTCTCCGAAAGCTGATTTATTTTATTGTTTTATATATGTATTGTATATTATATTATTATATATATGATGTATTATATAATATAATTATATATAATTACATATAATATTATAGAAGATATTATAATTACTATTACATAATACATAATTATATATTTATATAATTATACATTATACTTTAAATAACGATTTTAAAATATAATATTAAATAATATAATATAATATAATATAATATAATATTATATTATATTATATTATATTATATTATATTATATTATATTATATTATATATTTCTATAAAATATGATATAATAAATATATATAATATATAAAATATATAGTAATATATAATATGTATAATATGTATAATATATAAAATATTGCATTATATTATTATATTTAGAATATATTATTTTATGTTAAAAGAAAATTATATACTAAAACGATACTAAAGAAAGAGACAGGAGACATCAGAAGTTTAGACAAGAGTGATAATGAAAACCCATGACAGACTCAGTCTGACACAACTGGCTGTGATTGGCCATTAATTAAAAACAATTCACATGCTGGGTGAACAATTCTCCAAATCTCATTCCAAAGGAGCGAAACGTGGAGAAGCTGAAGCTTCTCATCTCGCCAGGAGGAGAAATCCTGGGGAAGGGATTTTTCAGCAAACATCACGGAGACATCCTGGGAGCGCAGGAATATCTGGGAGCACAGGAATATCTGGGAGCACAGAAATAAATATCTGGGAGCACAGGAGTATCCCCCAGCCATTCCCCCCAGGTGCTGTGAGCAGAGTCAGCTCTGCAGGCTGATGCTGATGCTGATGCTGATGCTGAGTGGGCTCAGCAGCATCCCACAGCCTGCACAACTTTTGTTTTCTCTCATTTTCTCCTTCCCAGCTCCTCTCCGAGCTCCAGGAACAGGCATCTTTTCTTTTTTGATAATTCAGCTCCAGGGAGGAGTTCCAGCTTTAATTTGTGGGGCAGGGACGTTTCTGACTGCTCCAACACCAGAAAATGAGCCCAAGATGGGGTTTTCTGCTGGGAAACAGCTGCTGCTGGAGCTGCACCCAAACCCCTGTCCCAAAATCAGAGTTCCAGGAAAGGCTGAGGAGGAAGAGGAGGGTGACAGTTCCCACCCTGGGTGTCAGGCCGGGCTGGAGGGGCTCGGAGCAGCCTGGGCTGGTGGAAGGTGCCCCCAGATGATTTTTATATCCAGCCCACACCGCTCTGGGATCTCTGCTAGCAGAAACGCTGCCAGGGCAAAACTTCTCAGAGGGTTTTACAGGCTGGAGAGGGAAATCAAAGCCTTTGGCCGGGTCCCCGAGGCTTTGCAGTTGCTCTTTCACACCCAGGCCCCTGTAATTAGCTCACACTGGTTTATGTGGCTTCTTAAGAAATGAAAATCTCCTTTTCTGGGGGTTGTTTGTGCAGGCCCCCAGCCCAGCCTGTGCTGGCTGCCCCTCAGCCCAGCCGGAGCCTTTGAAGTCCCAGGGCTCGCGCCACATCAGGAGCACCTCGGGCAGAATGCATCCTTTCATATATTTCGTCCTTTTTTCAATTTTATTTTTCGATCATCTGGGCCCCAGCGCTTTGCAAACTGCACTGAAAGTTATTTTCCGTGTGGGTAAGCGAAGTTTGTAAGCAGGCTGCTGATCTGGGCCTGCCCACAGAGCTGGCAATTATTTAGCTGTGAATGCAAAGTTCTTTTTTCCCCTCTCTGCTGTGGGGTTTGAGGGTGCAGAGGGAGTCCCTGGCAGATCAATGCTGGCGTTCAGCCCCTCCGGGGAGGCTCCAGCTGCATTTCCAGCTGGATTGCTCAGGAATGTTTGAATTTCACCAGCAAGGTCGCCCTGGGGTGCAGGTAACGTGCCTGGGCTGCTCCTTTTTGCAGCATTTGGGGTTTGCACGCGAGGGGAGGCAGCCAAAAGCTGCCAAAAGCCTGGACTTGGGGTTTCTGAGGGAGAAAATCTGAATTTTCCCCATGGAAAAGGGGCAGGATTAACCCCTGCATGGGCAGAGGTGCCCTCTGTGTGCCACCCTGAGTGCTGGGGGGTCAGAGGGGGATCCAGGTGGGATTTTGGGAAGAAATTTCTCTGGGAGGGTGGGGAGGTGCTGGCATGGAATTCCCATTGCAGCTGCGGCTGCTCCATCCCTGGAAGTTGCCAAAGATTGGAGGGAATATTGCAGGATGAGCCAGCCCTCTGTGTGAGTGAATTTGGGGGCTCTCGAGGGGGAGAGTGCTCCAGGTGCTTTTGTTTGCCCTCTGGAATCAAGGAAATCTCGAATTAAATAAATTATCACCAGCTCCAAGTGAAACGAGAGAATGTTTTCCTGCTGCAAGCAGGGTTTGGAGCCGGGTTCAAAACAACTGGGGACTCTGAGGATATTCTTCTCCGAGGATAATGGGAATGTCAACAGCGGCGTTAAGTAGGAAGTGTGAAAGATCCAAATCTTTGTGTCTGCAGGCATAAAAAAAAAAAATTAAAAAAAAAAAAGAGGAGCAGTCAGCTCATGTGAGGATCACAGCACAAGCTCAGCACTGCCCTGGTGCTGGGTCTCTCACACCTTCCTGGGAAAGCTTTTATGAATTTTGGGTGAATTTGTTTTTTGTGAGCTTTTGTGAATGTTGGGTGAATTTGTTTTTTGTGAGCTTTTGTGTGAATTTTGGGTTTGTCTGCAGGGGGTTCTGGAGGATGGAACCCAGCGGGAAAAGAGGGAAAAGCAGCAGCAGCAGCAGCAGCAGCTCCTCACCTGCCCTGGAGGAGCATTTCTGGCAGCCCTGGGGGCTCTGTGAGTGCTCCGGAGCCTCAGATCCCAAAATCGATTCCCAAACACGGCTGGGAGGAGGAGTGGGGGGTCCCAGAGGGGCTGTCTGGGGAGGGGGGCAGTTCTGGGGAGATGGATCACTTCAGGTGAGGTGAGATGGAGCTGTACAGGTGAGATGGGGCCATCCAGGTGAAACAGAGCAGCTCAATTCAGGTGAGAAGGGGCAGTTCAATTCAGGTGAAATGGAGCCATTCAGGTGAGGTGAGAAGGAGCAGTTCAGGTGAGATGGATCAGTTCAGTTCAGGTGAGAAGGGACATTTCAGGTGAGGTGAGATGGACCCATTCAGTTCAGGTGAGATGGGGCCACTCAGATGAGATAGATCAGTTCAGTTCAGGTGAGAAGGGACAGTTCAGGTGAGGTGAGATGGTCCCATTCAGTTCAGGTGAGATGGGGCCATTCAGATGAGATAGATCAGTTCAGTTCAGGTGAGAAGGGACAGTTCAGGTGAGGTGAGATGGCCCATTCAGTTCAGGTGAGAAGGGCCCATTCAGTTCAGGTGAGATGAGGCCATTCAGGTGAGAAGGGCCCCAGAGATGGCCCCAGATGTGCTCCAGGTGCGGCAGGAGGCACAAATGCCCCTCGGTCCCGTCCAAGGAATGGCACAATTCCCTGGGGACAGGAGGAGACCTGGCCTGTCCCAGAGCCTCTCCCCGCCCTCACCTGGACCTGCAGGGGCAGAGCCACCCCAAAACCCGCGGCCCTGAGTGCCTGGAGCCCCGGACTGGAGAAGTTTGCGCTGCAAACGCGGGGATTTTCAGGAAGCAGCTCCAGGTTCGCGCTGGAATTCGATCTGATAAAGCTGCGCGGGGAAACAATGGGAATTGAGGGAGGTTTTTAGGGGAGGAAGCCGCAGCCCCCTCCCCTCGCCTCCATCTGCGCTCGGTGGAGATCCCATCTCTCCCAAAAGGGAGAATTTATCAAGCTCCATCTCAAACACTTCATTTTGGAGCTGGAGCAGAGGCAGAGCGGCAGCTGGGGCTGGAGATGTTTGATATCGGCACCTCGGGATGAAATCCAGGACAACTGCGCCCATTATGGCTCATTGTCCCGCTCCCGGAGCGAAAGCCATGTGGATAATCGGTATCTCCCCGGTAAATCTCGGTGATTGATGTGCTTTTAGCGCGGCTCATGTGCCGTTCGTGTCCGCAGCCGGCGGGGTTTTAGGGAAAATGGTGTTTATTCCTGGTGGGAACGGCCAGCAAGGGAGAGCTGCGGGACCTGGTGGGAAAGGATGAGAAATCGGTGTGAAAGGGACCGAAAAGGGCTGAAAAGTGACCAAATAAAGTGATTGAAGGAGTGCTGAATAAGTGACAAAATCAATGTTAAAGTGACCAAAAAAGTGCTAAATAAGCGACCAAATCAGTGTGAAAGTGACCGAAAAGGGCTAATATAAATTGTGTGAAAGTGACCAAAAAGGGGCTAAATCAGTGACCAAATCAGTGTCATTTATTTAACGGGAGAGCTGCGGGACCTGGTGGGAAAGGATGAGCAATCGGTGTGAAAGGGACCGAAAAGGGCGGAAAAAGTGACCAAATAAAGTGACTGAAGGAGTGCTGAATAAGTGACCAAATCAGCGCTAAAGTGACCGAAAAAGGCCTGAGTAAGTGCTAAAGTGACTGAAAAAGTGCTAAATGGGTGATCAAATCAGTGTTAAAGTGACCAAAAAGGGCTGAATAAGTGACCAAATCAGTGTTAAAGTGACTGAATAAAGGCTAAATAAGTGGCCAAGCAAAGTGACCAAGAAAGTGCTAAATAAGTGACCAAATCAGTGTTAAAGTGACTGAAAAAGGGCTGAATAAGTGACCAGGACAGGTTTAGGAAGGAGTTTATTCTGCACAGCTTTTCCGGCAGGAGTTTTCCACAAATCAAGCCCGAGGAGTTCCAAACCTCCACACTGCGAGTGATTTCAGCAAACAAAGAAATCGCAGCTCCCCGGCTACAAATCACCGGATTCTTTATTAATTAACGCCCCACCTTCCGCCGGTCAATCCATTCTCTCTCTTTAATGTTAATTAGCGCTCAGGCTCAGCTTTTCATCCGGGGCCGGGGTCCTCCTGCTCCTGATCCCTCTGCCCGAGGCTGGCACCGACCCCTGGCATGACAAAGGGACCCGAGGGAGACTTGTGAATTATTCCTGGCTCCGAATCCCAGCTCTGCTCTGTCCCTCACCTGCGGGGCAGAGCCCCATTTTCACCCTGAAGGGGGTTAAAAAGGAATAAATCAAAGCGTGGAGGAGAACTCAGGGTGGGTTTTTGGTTACAGGTGATTTTTGCATGAAATCCTGATAAACCATTCGGGCACCTCCCGGGTTTTACTTATTTCAGTGAAGTGGGAGCATCAGTAAAGTCGATTTTCCAGCAGGAAACCGAGCGGCCACCACGGGACAGGGACAGAGGGACAGGGATGGAAGAGAGAAGGGAACAGGGACAAGGAGAGGGGCAGGGATGGGGACGGGGACTGGGACTGGGACAGACAGGGACGGGAATAGACAGGGACGGGGACAGGATCGGGATTAGGACACACACGAGTAGGGGCAGGGACTGGGATGGGGGAGAGGGACGGGGACCGTGGCAGAGGCAGGCATGGGGATAGGAAGGAGAATCGGGGACAGGGATTGGGATCGGGGACAGGACCGGGTCAGGACCGGAACCGGGTCCGGTGCGGGCCCCGCGCGCGCCCCCGCCTCGGGGGAAGCCCCGGCCCCGCGCACGCGCGCGCGCCCCCGCCCGCGCCGTCCCTCCCGCGCGCGCCCGGGCCCGCGCATGCGCAACCTCCGCCCCCTCACCGCCCCCTCCCGCCCCGCCGCCGCCGCCGCGCAGGCGCCCTGCGGCCGCCCCCCCTCCCTGCGCCGGCGCATGCGCGTCGCCCCCCCTCGGCCGCGGGGAGGGGGATGCGGACGGGGGAAGATGGCGGCCTCGAACAACCCGCGGAAATTCAGCGAGAAGATCGCGCTGCACAACCAGAAGCAGGCGGAGGAGACGGCGGCCTTCGAGGAGGTCATGAAGGACCTGAGCCTGACCCGCGCGCACCGGGTGAGCCTCGTTGCCGCCGCCCCCGGCTGAGGCGGGCGGGGGGGCTGCGAGGGGCGGCGCCCCCCCCGCGGAGCCCCTCGGGCCGGGGGCAGCGGCGGCGTGCGGCGGGCGGGGCGGGCAGCGCCCCCTGGCGGGGGCGGGCGGCGCCCGCGGGCGGGGGGGGAGGCCCCCTCAGCCCCCCCTCACGGCCTCGTTCCCCCCCACCCCCGGTTTAGCGGCACCGGGCCCGGCCCGCGTCGCCCACCGGGGCCCACCGGGCCCGCGGCATCCTCCGGAGACCGGCACCTGCCGCGGGGGAGGCCACGGTGCCGTCCGCCGGAGGGTCGGGGCAGCGGCATCACGGCACGGCCGGAGCCGGCCCGGCGGGCAGGGGGCTGCGCTGGGCCGGGCTGCGGCGGGGGCAGCCCCGTGTCCCCTGCCCAGGGCTGAGGGGGGTCCCGGTTCCTCACACCGGGACAGCCCCGGGGCGGAGGGAGAGGGATCCCGGATGCTCTGCCGGTGTCTGAGGGGAGATGCCAATTGCATCAGCCCGGGACGGGCCCGGCTCTGAGGGGGATCCCGGTTCCTCCGGCCCTGAGGGGTTCCCGGTGCCCCCGGCCCTGAGGGGATCCCGGTTCTCCGGCCCCGCCGGGAGGGATGCCCGGTTCCCGGCACAGGCCGGGGCTGTGCCTCGCTCGCGGCTCCGAGCAGGTGTCGCGGCTCCTCGGCCGGAGTGCGCGGTGGGCTCCTGGCTCTGAGCCGCGGGCCGGGGTCCCTCAGAGCCCCCCGAGCATCCCCCGCTGTCCGGCTGTGCAGCGGGAGCTGCCGGGCTCGCCGGGGCCGGTGTTGTTCCCGTTACGCTCCGGTTGTCGTAGGTGCAAATTGCTGCACTTCCAAAGCCTCCCTTGGCTGGTGATGTCTCTGCAAAGCCCATCAGCAGAAATTCCCGGCATAACCGATGCGCTTTCCGGGCACGAGATGCCTTTCCTGGTCCAGATTCAGGGATGTCGGGGCCGTTCTGTTCCCGTCTCACCTGCTCGTGTCAGTGTTTTGTTTTTAACTGTTTCAAGAAAATTTACGAGCCTGTTTGCGGCGGAAGCTTTGCAAGAACAACAGAACGCACGGTTGGATTTGCAGGAAAAGGTTCCCTTTTATTCCTCTGTCAGGAGAGGGTAAATATTTGTTTTGAATTGGTGGTGCTGCTGGTTGGATGGAAAGGAAAGGCGCCTGCCTGGGGAGGTGTGGGGCTGGAGCTCACGCTCACCTGGATGCTGGATGTTCCTGCTGGAGTTAGCTGGCCCCTGAGTGAGGATAATTTGGAGGTGTTTGTACTCCCTGGAATCATCCTGTGGGGCTCAGGATCCCGGGCTTCTGCCTTCAGTGCTCAGTCCTTGCTGCCCCTCCAGAGCTGGGTGCTCCTGAGGGACTCCTTGCAATCTGCAATTACAGGTTGTCCTTCAGTTAACTCACACGCTGAGCTCTCACCTTCTGCGGGAGGAGTCAGAATCCAGGTTCATGTCTCCTGAATCCCGTTTACTTTTCTCCCAAATCCGAGCGCTCCTAGCCCAGGTTTTGCTCTTGGAAACCCACCACGCTTTCAAGAACTGGGTTTTGAGGAGAGAACCCAAGATGAATAACTTTTGTGAGCATTCTGGGTACTGAAGTGATGGAAACACTGACCAGAGAGCTGAGTAAAATGTCTCCTTTGTAGACTTTTTCTTGCAAATTCCATGATTTCATCGGGGTTCAAAATGCAGCATAAGAGCAGAAAGGGGTTAAGCACAACTTTGCTGTTTGCTCTCATTTTCATTTGGCAGGCAGCACGTTGCTGTCAGTTTGAAAACGCCTTACTCAGTCGGTGGAAGCAGCCCAACATTTCTGTTGCCTTTTCATTATTAGTAATTGTCTTTTTGCAATGTTTACCATCTTGTCTGCTTTATTGTTGGTCCCTGCTCGGAGCAGAGGCAGAAATTCTGAGCTTCCACCATCACCTTCCACCTATTTACGGTATGGCACCCATGTGGGGTGTTTACCTTGTGATCCCCCCTGCAAAGACAAGCCCAGGGGAGGGGGAGTTGGTGTTTTCTGTTCTGTGACATTGACTCCTGTGTTTTGTTTGTGGCTCTCCTCCTCCCCTTTTTTAAATTTTTTTGGAGTTTCAGGACTGCGCTGATTTCTGGGCTTGTTTACCAGGGCCTGTCTCAATTTCTCAGCCCAGGGATGCTTTGATGCAGCTGTTTACTCATCCAAGGTTGTTGCTGCCCTTTCAAATTGTAATTAGCAAAAAAATTAACTGCAGATACTGCTGAGCCCTCCAAGATGTGACTGTTGAAATGCTAAAAAATGTAAGATTTTTAAAGCCAATTTGTGACCTGAATTTTAAGGGTTGTTCTTGTTGGAGATCTTCTCAGGTTTCCAGGATTGCTTTTTTAAATTTTAATATTCAGTTAAAGTCACATAATTTTGAGGGCTTTCAGCCAGAGCTGTGTTTGAGCTCCCTCTGATGGGCCTTGCAGTCTTTCCTTGGATAAAAGACCCCCCCAAACTCTGAAATGCTGCCAGTGGGTGCTGTCACCCAGCCCCACCTGCCCTGGAGCAAACCCAGGGAATCAAACCCAGCTCAATGGTGATGCTTGGAGACTCTGTGCAAGTTTCCATCACCCTTTGCCTGTGTATTTTTAGGTGTTATCCAAAGTTCTGCATGGCTTTTGTTGAGTTCCTGACAACCATGTGAAGTGAGAAGTTCGTGTTTATATTTTAAACCTGGCTGATTTTAATACAAAATCCTGTTGTAGTTTAATTTTGTCAAGTGGAATATGTTGTAATAGCGTAGATTTGATTTTTATTTGAAATAAAAATGAAGTAAAACCCGCAGTTTGTGATGGAGTGTGTGTAAAACCCACACACACCCCCCTGCCACAAAATTTGTACTCAAAGCTGAGGCACTCAGTGGTTTTCTGGTTCCTGTAGAGGAGATCAAAATGTCTCTTTGTACATCCCCAGCTCAGCGCTGGATGCAGATAATATGCAAAACAGTATTTAAAAGCTTAGTTAAATCAGGAATGCTAATCTGCTTTGAAAAATGAGAAGCACTGGTGATGATGATGATGATACAGAGCTGCAGTGGTCCCTGATGTCTTCAGCAGGTTTTTATTAAATAATGTGATACAAAAGAAATTCCTGATGACGTAGGAGTGGTTTTGAATGTCTGAGAGATACTAAAGAAATGCATCAAAACCAGGACTGAGCCCTCCCAGCACCGAGATCGGTGCTTGCAGCTGGCAGCTCAGCTTAGAAGTGAGTTTCTCTCAAACACACATGGGAGTTCTCCAAGCTCTAGGGGTGTTTTTCCTTCATTAACTTTCCCACGGTTTGCACCCTGAGTTTGCTCATTTCCGGACCAAGAAATGAGTGCTTTGGGCTTCACCTGTGCTCACCCACTGCTGAATTCCCTTCTCTGATGAGCCCCAGCATCACTGAGGTTGGAAAACCCAACCTCATTGGCACATCAGCTTGTCCCCAGCAGTGCCACCTGCAGCCCCCTGGGCAGCCCCTGCAGTGCCTGGCACCCTTTCCTTGCAGGAGTTCCTGCTGTCCTGGCACCCTTTCCTTGCAGGAGTTCCTGCTGTCCTGGCACCCTTTCCTTGCAGGAGTTCCCTTGTCCTGGCACCCTTTCCTTGCCGGAGTTCCCTTGTCCTGGCACCCTTTCCTTGCAGGAGTTCCCTTGTCCTGGCACCCTTTCCTTGCCGGAGTTCCCTTGTCCTGGCACCCTTTCCTTGCAGGAGTTCCTGCTGTCCTGGCACCCTTTCCTTGCAGGAGTTCCCTTGTCCTGGCACCCTTTCCTTGCAGGAGTTCCTGCTGTCCTGGCACCCTTTCCTTGCAGGAGTTCCCTTGTCCTGGCACCCTTTCCTTGCCGGAGTTCCCTTGTCCTGGCACCCTTTCCTTGCAGGAGTTCCCTTGTCCTGGCACCCTTTCCTTGCAGGAGTTCCCTTGTCCTGGCACCCTTTCCTTGCCGGAGTTCCCTTGTCCTGGCACCCTTTCCTTGCAGGAGTTCCCTTGTCCTGGCACCCTTTCCTTGCAGGAGTTCCTGCTGCTGGGAAGCTCCAGGCCGTTCCCTTGTCCTGGGGCAGGCCCCCAAGCAGAGCAGGGACTTTGGAGCCCCAGAGGTGCCCCAGGTGCCACCACCTCGGGCTGTGGCACCATCACAGGCAGCCTGAGCCAGCAGGGCCCCCCATTCTGTGAAGGAATGTTTGTAAATCAGAGGGTGAGAGCAGAGGGGGCCTGCCAGGGCACAAAGAATCTCTGTTCTTGTGCAACCCTTGGCTCCCCTCAGCCCGCCTGAGCTGTCCAAGGTAAACACAGAGAGGTCTGCTGTGCCATCCTGGGGAACTGCGCTAAGCAGGGCAGGCTTGCTTCAGCTTTTGGGAGATTTTTATTTATTATTTTTTTAAGGAGACAATGACTTTTTTCCTGATCGTCCCATCGCTCCCACACAGCACAGCTGCTGCTGGACAGAGTCACTCTGTGTGCAGTGGGCAAATCCCTGGGTGTTAATGGTGCAGCCAGGCTGGGAAGGCTCTGGGAGCACGTGAGGCTGGATTGTACAACTGCTGCATTTCGGGTGTTTGGTTGTAATTCTCAGGGTGAACATGTGGGACTCGCTCCGGCTGCTGCGCTGGGTTTTATTTAGCATCAGCACTGGGTGGTAATTTGCATTTATAGAAGGTGCTCGTTTGGGAAGGGAATTTGTTCTCAAGGTGAGGTACAGTCAGTTCCTCCAGTTCCTTGGGGTTGATCTGGGGTTTTCCCCTCCAGACGAGCTGCAGAGGGGAGCTGAGCCTGTGGTTACCCTGAAAAGGGGCGGTGTGGGTACTGAATCTCTGGGTTCAGCAGTCAGAAACTGAAATTTGTGGTGCAGCCTTGCAGTTCTGGCTGTGACTGTGGAAGTGCCAGAGGTGCCAAAGCCTGGGGGCAGGAGGGGCTGGTGCTGAGTGATCGGAGCTCTGTGCTGGCCAGGGCTG